GAAGTTTAAGAGGGATGGAGTTGCCCACTAGCTCTCTCTCTCTCTCTTTCTCTCAATGTGCACTTCTTTACTAACACCAGTGGGAGTGACTGGATGTGCTGGTCCACCCTCCACCTGTGTTTTCATCCCTTTCTCAGTCTCTATGTATGTTTCCCCCTAAACTTCCTGCTACTACTACCGATCTTCTTTGGTTTGTTCAGTGTCTCAGCCAATTGTTTAAGAGCTGTGGAGTCTGTTCTGACTCATAGAGACTCCATATAGGGTTTCTGAGGAGTTTGGGTTTGAATCGCTGACCTTGTGGTAAGCAGTGCAGTATTTATCCTACAGCATCACACAAGAACTCGTCCTAACCCAGTAGATCCTGCTTCTTACTGTGTGAATCAGATTTTCTTTCAAGTTTGGAGGGAGTTCTGACACAGTTCTACCATGTTTAAAATGCAATGCCACTCTCACGCTTTCAACTTCTTCCTCAGAAGCCTCCCTGAAACAGGTAAACTGTGATCATTCACCTTAGGTGTCTGGCTGAGAAACACTGGACTGTTCTGGAAGGGAAGGGCCCTGAGCCTGGTAATGGAGATGTGAGTGACAAGACCTAGAATGGACCATCACAGCCTCCGTGTCTGCCCACCATAAAACTCAGCAGCGTTGTCCAGCCATCCTTGAAATGCTGGCATCTGGGCTTATGAACACTGATGATCATTGTTGCAAGGTCATGGAAGACACTTGACCTAGAATAAACCTGGAAAACCCAGCTGCCATCGAGTTGATTCAGACTCCTGAAGAGCCCATGTGTTTCAGAGTACAACTGTGCCTCATATGATTTTCAAGGTCTGTGATTGTTTGGAAGTAGCTTGCCAGACCGTTCTTCTGAGGCACTTCTGGGTGGATTCAAATCATCAACCTTTCACTTAATAGCTGAGTGCTTCATGGTTTGCACCACCCAGGGGTCCTCGCCTGGAATAGAGGTAGTCTATTCCCTACAGCCCCAGAGCCCTGTAGGCTGACCTGACCACCTGCTTCAACTAGTAGAGTTGCTTCACTCGCCTCCTTTGTGGGTCTTTTCATCTGCTTAAATCTAACCGCTGTTCTTTTTCCCTCTGTCTCTCCACTATGTCTCTGACTCTCTAGATCTGCCCCACACTTAGTCTCTCTTTCACTTGCTGGTTAATAAGGCAGAGCAAGCTGGGTCCAGACTCTAGGACTGAGGCTGAAGGTGGAGTCTGACAGCCTCTCGTGTTGTAACAAGACTTCCTACCATCTGGAGTGGATCAGACACCATGCTGAGAGCTGGGTAAATACTACTCACAACAGTTGCATAAGAAAGGAGAAATTAATACCCTGTTTTTCAGTGAACATAATTGAAGCTATTTGAGCCCAGGCAAGTCTGACTTTAAAGTTCAGGCTCTTAGCCACCATGTGGTATGAACCCCAAGCATCTTCTTCATAGTAGATTCAGGGCTGGCACATGCTAAGAATTCATGAATATATATATATATATTTTCATGAATGAATTGAATGGGTGAACCAGTAGAATTTAGTAGAAATCAATAAAGGGTGTGTGAAATAGGCTTAGTGAATAAATCTTGGGTTAAGATCAGGTTAGGTGGAGGAGTGTCCACCACCAAACAGGTTCTGGGGATCAGCATGGGAGTAACCAGCTTTAGGAGAGCTCAGTCTTACATTTTGTAATTAACTCATTATGTAACTTTGGGTTTGTCCCTTCTTCTAGGGTCTCACTTTCTCCTGCTATAAACTGGAGGTTTGGTTTAGATTGGGAGTCAGTAAATATTTTCTGCGAGGGGGTCATACAATAAATATTCTAGGGTTTGCAGCAAATATTGTAGGTCTCTGTCACAACTACTTAACTCTTTTGTTGTTTTGAGAAGGCAACCATAGACATACAGGAATGAGAAAGACTTTGTTCTAGTAAAACTTCACTGACAAAAACAAATAACTAGCTGGATTTGGCCCTGGGGCTGTAGTTTTCTGACCCCTGGTGACCTATGATGTTCCTTTTAATTCTAACAGTCTACTATTTGAAGGTTTAGAACCAGTTGTGCCAAAGACGGAAATGACCACACATTACAGTGTCCCTGGCAGACATTACTAATTGATCACAGGACTCTTATCTGATGAATTGGCCTTTATCAACAAACCACAGCTAGGCATTTCTAATTGTAGCATCCTCCCATTCACTCTTTACATTGTAAATATTGGGAACACTCACAATGACCCCTGAGTGTGACATTGAAGAAGACAGGGAGGAACAGAGAGTGGGATGTGAGGAAGTCATCTTTGACCAGATGTGAGAACAATCACCTTGCTCCTTCTGCCAGGCATCCAAGGGTGAGAACCAACATCCTAAACGCAACCAAGTTGGTTGCCCTGAGAGTGATGTAGACTCTCTACCTCTCCCTTACCTGCCTTACTGGGTTTCCCAGCCAGGAATGGAAGTACTTGATTCATAGCAGTTACTCAGTGCATATTAATTTTCTTCCTTTTCTTTCTCTACCAAATTTAAAACACTAAGTGGTTTCTTCTGCATAGAGTGGTCTGTGGCCAGCTGGCTGCCCACTTGGTGAATAGTTTTTAAAATCAGTTCATGTAGAGTCATCACTGATGGATTATATGTGACTCTTGGATGTCACTTTGAGGAAAGAATGGGGGAAATCTCAAGCATCAAGATGCTTGATGTTCTCAGAGCTTAGGTTTTGCAATCAGACTAGCTTGGGTTGAATGATCACTCTCTTAATCTCTGCAGACAGGGTAGCACATGCTGTTAGTTGTTGTGAAGTTGGTTCTGACTCATGGAGCCCAGACCCCAAGTATTAGAGTAAAGCTGTGGCATAGGGTTTTCTTAGCTGTACCTTTCATAGAAGCAGGTCACAGGACTTTTCCTCCTCTGGAATGCTGAATGTGCTTGAACCTCCAATCTTTGAGTTAGCAGCTGAACATAAACTGTTTGCACTACCTAGGGACATTGTATGGATAAGCACTGGACTGCTAAGCCACAGGGTTTGCAGTTCAAACCCACTAGCTGCACCTCGGAAGAAAGAAGAGATTTTCTGCTCCCATAGGGGTTTACAGCCTCAGAAATATTTCATAGGGTCAGTATGAATCAGAATTAACTTGATGACAGTAGGTTTTTAGTAGCTAGGGACCTTGTACAGTACATAAAATGATTTTAATAAATGTCAGCCATAATCTTTGCTATCACATGAGGATTTGGGGGTGAGAATCAATCCTCTAATATTTTTTGTTTGTTTCTTTAAATGTGATTAATTTTATTGTTGTTGAGAACATACACAACAAAACATACAGCAGTTCAGCAATTTCTACATGTGCAATTTAGCGGCATGATTTACGTTCCACAAGTTGTACAAACACTGCCACCCTTCTTGTCTGAGGTGTTTTCTTTCCCATTAACGTGAAGTCACTGCCCTTAAGGTTTCTGTCTAGTATTTTGAGTTGTGGTCAATTTGATTCTATATAGATTGAAAGAGCATAATGCTCAAGGTAGACAGACCTCTTTTACTAGTTCAGCTGAACTATTATTCAGCTTTCAGAAGACTTCAGAGAATATTTTTGGTTCCAGGTTTAAAGACTATTCCAGGGCAATAATTCCAGGGCTTTGCCCATCCTTCAGAAAGTCTAGAGTCCATGAGAATTTAGAATTCTGGTCTACATTTCCCCCTTCTGATCAGGATTCTTTTATGGAGTCTTTGATCAAAATGTCCAGGAATGGTAGCTGGGCACCATCCAGTTCTTTTGGTCTTATGGAAAAGGAGGCATTGGTTTATGGAGGTAATCAGTGACATATTCCATTTCCTTCTCCTATTTCTGACTCTCCCACTTCCTTCCAGATGAATAGAGATTAACTGTTGTGCCTTGGGATACTAATTGTTTTGTCTTCGATGGCATCTTCCAAACTTTTAAGACCCCAGGCACTATGTAGTGAACTAGGAGGGAGAATAGAAGCACTAGACATGTTATTAGGCCAATTAAGTGGGGTGTTCCATGAAACCATGACCCTAAACAGTCTTCTAACATTTCAAATCACACAGCATGACTAGATGTTGATTACAGTGACAGCTCAGTTGCTTTGACCTTTTTATCTCAGACTCACTTAGTGATAATGAATAGGATCCATTTAAAAATGTTTAACTTTTTATTATGAATGGAGTGAAGGTTTACAGAGCAGATCATCAGTTTCATATCCAACAATTCATGCACATTTTGTGTCAGCTCATTGTCTGCAAAACCCCCACAACGTAACATCACTTCTTTTCAGAGTGATGTTTCATCCTTTGTCTGGTATCTCTTGAGAAGAGCTAACTTGTTAGTATCAATCCATTTCACAGCTGAGAATACTAAGAGATTTACTGAAGGCAGAGCTCTTCCTTCTGGACTTTTCATTCTGCATCTGTTTTGTGAATGTTTTCTAATGATCAGACATAGAACAGATACTGTTATATAACGGTGTAAATATTTTGGGGAAATTATCTGTCGGCTGAATGATATGATGCCTGACGTTTTGAGAAGGAATTTGTCTTGAGCAATTTCTCAGCGTTTCGTAATTCCCGAGAGTCCAGGAATGAGAGCTAGTGGTGTGGTGTGTTACATGAGGCCTCAGCTGATTGAAAGTCCATGTCTTAGGTTTCAGCTTTTTCCCTCCTTTCCTCCTCCAAAGCTAATTGGACATGGTCCCCGCACAATGACTAGGACTCAGATGGATACCTGGAAGGGTCTCCTTATCGGCTTGGTGACGCACTGCTGACCAGCCTCTTCTCTTTCTTCTTGGATCCTGCTTTGTTGGCCTCAGGGTCTTCCTTAGGACAAGAGCATTATTTCCCTGGCGTCAGCAGTGTTGATCTCTGGCACAGCTCCCTGCCTATGCAATAGCAGCTGGGAGGAGCCCAGGAAATTCCGGTCACACCCACTGCTGAAGGAATAAAGAGTGAGGTTTGGTGTTGGCCATCAGAGCGACCCCAGATTTTACCATGAAGTCCAACGGCCTCTTTTCTCTTGTGGTGCTTCTTGCCTTGGGAATTCTGGCATCTGGGACTGTGGAAGGTGGTGACCAGAGTGAGTTGGAATTACCCTGGTCCAATGGCAGGTCAGAGGTGGTGTTTCCTGGTGGCATGGGGATGGTTCCTTGTCTAGGCAGCTTAGTTCCAGATCTCCTGAAGGATGGAATTCATGTTCACCTGAGCCCCCAAAGACTCCGTGAGGGCTTCTGAAACACCTGGAAAGACTTCTTCACTCAGCCATTTCATTGGCCCAGGTCCCACTGCCTAACCCTCTGTGTGTCTCCTCTCTCCCTCCCCCTCTTTCTCTCTGCCCTCATGACTCTTCCTCTTTTACTGTATCCTGTATCCGTGGTGGTTCTCCAATCCCCAGCCTTTGACTCTTTCTGGTCTCCCTTTGTTTACCTCTGTTTGAACCTTTTAGTTTCTGTCTTAAAACATTTTTTTTTTTTTCTCTTTCTGCCTCTCCATCTTTTTATCTTGGTTTATTTGGTGATGGTTACTAGACTGCATCACCCCTAGCCTTCCTCTACCTTTGTGTATCATTGCCTTTCTCTGGAGCAGGAGACTTTGGCTAGGTTCCTTATGTCTGTTCTGACATGGACATGTCACTCTTATGGAGGCCCGGCATGACTTTGTGGACAGCCTCCTGGGGGTGGACAGAACAGAAGCAGACCTAGCCTAGTCCCATCCTGACCTCTTGCCGTTCTTTGCAGTGCCTTTGAAGGCTGGACTCTGCCCTTCTAGACCCATGGCCAAGTGCTTTAGATATCAGATACCAGAGTGTAAAAGTGACTGGCAGTGTCCAGGACATCAGAAATGCTGTCCTGATACTTGTGTCATCAAATGCCTGGATCCTGTTGCCGCCCAGGCGTCAGGTGAGGAGGCGGGAGAGCTGGGTGTACAGGTGGGATCCTGAGAACGTAGCATCATGGAGGAGGGGGTTGGGTGATGGGGTCCTGCCAGGCTTCTTCCTTTTTGAGAGCCTTTGAGCCACCTAGCCTGTGGTCATTCAGATGGAGAGACCATTGACAGACACTCATTCATCCAGCACTGGTAGCTGGTCCTCTGCATGGAGGGAGGTTGTCAAAGATGCCTAGGCCCTGGGAAGGAGGTGGCGGGCAGGGTGATCCTCCTGACTGAGGGGAAGGTGGTAGTGACAGGTGGGAGATGGCTAGGCTTCAAAGCCTCTAACTTGCAGCTCTACTCTTTCCAGATAATAAGCCAGGGAAGTGCCCGGTGGTCAGAGGCCAATGTATGATGCTGAATCCCCCCAATTACTGTGAGAAGGACAGTCAGTGCCAGGATGACTTCAAGTGCTGCATGGGCATGTGTGGGAAAATCTGTGTGGCCCCCGTGAAAGGTAAGGGGTTGGGGGCAGCAGGACCACTCTCCTCCCAGACCCCCTCAGTCTCAGACTCTGGAGGTCTGAGAAGACGGGCAGGGGGCGATCTGAGCCTCTTTCGGATCCTCTCTTTTAATAACACTGCTCTCCCCAGCCTCAGGGCAAGGGTTTCCATTGCATCCCTTCTCTGGGATCTCCAGGTGAGGGCCTTCGGCAAATGTCTCTGAGTCTCAGTTTGCTACTTTGTAGAATGGTCACAATGAAAGTGCTTTGTAAAGCTCTCTGTCCATAAAGTATATGCTATGAAGATTATTTCCAGCATGTTGGAGCCCTCGTGTGGTGCTGTAGGATAATGCGCTGGTCCACGAGGTTGGTTTGAACTTCAAGGTCAGCGGTTCAAATTCACCAGCCGCTCCTCTAAAACAGGGTTGCTATGAGTTGGCACTGACTCGACAGCAATTAACAATGGCAACAATCTCAGGTGAAAGCCCAAAGGACCAGCAGAGTTTGAGGATAATCTAGTTCAATGTTCTGATTTTGTAGCTGGAAAATGCTGAGGCAAGAGTCAGGGAAACAGAGACTTAACTGTCCAATTTCAAGAGTGCTCCCTAACCCAAACTCTGGATCTGAGTTAATAACACTGTCTCCATACTGGTTCATCATTTGTAGCAAGTGTACCACAGGAATGCAAAATGTTAGTAACAAGAGAAAATGTGTGCAGGAGTGGGAAGAAGAAACACAAGAACTCTACTTTCTGCAAGGCGGTTTGTGCTCAACTACTGTAGGATAAGCACTGGCCTGTGAACCACAGCTGCTTTAAGGGAGAAAGATGAGATTTTCTGCTCCTGCAAAGATTTACAGCTTTGGAAACCCTATACAGGGTCGTTATGAGTTGGAACAGTACTTAACATACACACACACACACATGCACACACACACACTGACCTAAAGATTGGTGATTCAAAACCAGCCAGTGGCACTGTGCAAGAAAGGCCTGGTAATCTCCTTCTGTAAAGATCACAGTCACGAAAACACTATAGAGCAGTTCAACTTTGTAACGCAGAACAGAACCAGACCCCTCCCAGCCCCATCTTGATCTTTTGAATCTTGGAATCACCTCAACAGCAGTGGGCTTGGGTTTCTGTTTTGATATTTTCTATATAATTTTTTTTGTAAACCTAATGCTGCTTTTTTTTTTTTTTTTTAAAGTAAAAATTAGAACAAAAACAACAACAATAACTCCAAGCCCCACTCCTGTAAAAAACAGAACAAAAACCCTACAATGAGATTTAAACACAAGACATTTGGACTCAGACGCCTGATACCAAGTCTCTGAAATCTACAGCACACATTGCTGTTTTCTGTGTCTTGGGGCTCCTTTGGGGCACACTGTGGAGATGGTCTGGCTGGTTCTAACACTGAAACTCTGATGCGCTTTCCTCTCACAGCATAATTCTTCTGTTGCTGTATAATCCGGAGTTCCTTCCACCCTTCTTCAATCACAGAGGCACTCCATAGTGAAGACTTCGTTCTGAAACCTTCTTTGGGGAACTTCCAAGAAATGCCTGCTTACTGGTGAATCAATAAATGAGCATGTTTGTCTCTGCACATCCTACTTTTGTGGTTCATTGGGGATATGAGTGGAGTGGAGGTGATGAAGGAATGTCTGGATGTAAGAACTCCCTTCTCCAGATATGGGGCTACACAGAGGAAGCTCAGGAACTAGACAGACATGTGTATGTCTCATGGCTCAGAAGGTTTTTAGCTCGGTGGTTTTGGCTCAGTGACTTTATCTTCCCAAATCTCAATAATTCCTTTATTTGCAAATAAAAATCACTTCCTCACATTGCTCTGAGAATTGAAGTATGCAGCATGTGACAAATGAAGAGTAATGGTATTGGGCCACCGTAGATTCTAGAGAAATGGTAGATTGTTAGTTTCTAGGTGATTCTGTTTCTCTTCTCTCTCAAGATTCTAATTTCTTCCATCTTAAAATAAGAAGACTACATGGTGGCCATCCCAAGGAATTGGTCTCTATTTTCCTGGGGCAACAAAGGAAGACAGAAAGTCAGGAGTAGGAGGAAGAAAGGGAATGTGTGGGTCTCCATGGAAATTTTGCCATGAGACCAGAAGAACTGGATGGTGCCAGCTACCAGTACTGAAACTTCTGATTAAACATTCCATAGGAGAATCCTGATCACAAGGGGGGAATGTCAAATTATCCTAGGATCCAAAGTTTCTGGAGCAATGGAGGCTGGATTAACCTCAAAACAATTGCCTTGGGATAATCTTTAAACCTAAACCAAAAATATCTCCTAATGTAGGGATAAGCACTCAAATGCAAGGTCAGTTTGAACTGCAAGGTCGGCGGTTCACACGCACCAGAAGCTCCTCAGAAACCCTATACAGGGTCGCTATGAGTAGGAAAAGACTCAATGTCACCTAATGACAACGTCTTTATAAAACCAAACAATAATTTAGTAAACTAGTATACAATGTATTTTTTGAGCCCCGTGCTCTTTCAAGACCTAGCTATATAGGATCAAAGCGACAGTAGCAACCTGAAATATTAAATAGAAACCTTGGGGTGGGGCAGTGAGTTTATGTGAAAAGGGGAAGAACAGCTCAGAAAAGAACAGTAAGAATTGGTTGTACAAATCGGAGAATGTAGTTAATCAATGTTACCGAATTTTACATGTAGAATTTATTGAATTGGCATATGATCTGCAGTGAATATTTGGAACAAGAGCAACAAAATAAAATGTTTTTCAAGAAAGAATACTGCCATGGTGGATTATGGTGTAAGACATGCTGTTGGCCAGCCCAGTAGGATGGTATCATTCTTGACTCCCGGGAACAGGAGGTACAACAAGAACTAGACTGCTAGAGCCAGAGGGCAGGCCGGGAACTGTTTCCACAGATTTCTGTGATTTTTGGACTCTAGAGGAAACAGAGAACTTGATTAGATAATGACTTGAAAAACTGTCTTGGGAGGACCTGTTCTGATTACTACACATTATCCTTAACCAATTAGAAATAATAGAAGTAGACAAAAAACAATCAAAGAAACAAACCCTACAAAGTACTTAGAAATAAACAAAAAACATGCCAGGTCCTGGGGGATTTTAAAAAGACAAAGCAAAATAATGTTTTGATGATCCAAAATAAGGATTGGAATAAATAGAAAAATAAGTTGAGATTTGGAAATACTCAATAACATAAAGATAGCAGTTCTTTTCAAAGTCGTTGATAAATTCAATGTAATTGTAAAACAAACAAAAAGCTACACATAATGGTTAAGAGAATTTGCTGAAGTGATTTTTTCGTGACTACGGTAGCATAAGTTGTCAAGACAACTTTTTTCAAGTACCAGTTTGGGAGCTAATCAGACTACATGTTAAAATATATTACTACTGTAGTAATTACTATAATGTTGATGCAGGAATTAACAAATAGTCCAACGAAATAAATCAAAATGACTAAAAAGAAATCTGTATATTCATGAAATTTGATATGTGAAAGGGAGGAATTTTTACAACTGGGAAGGGCAAGGTTCAAATTAATAATGAAACAATCGGCATTTTTCCTTTTAAAGTTCTTGTTGACTTTTATTGTTTTAATGGTAACTAATTGTGGCTCTGTGGGTTAGTGTGCCAGACTGCAAAGCTGTTTGAATTGCATGGTTGATGGTTAAAGCTCACCAGCTGCTTCTTAGAAACCCTATACAGGGTCACTATGAGTCAGAATTGACTCTAAGGCACTTAGCAACAACAACAAAATATAGTTATAGAGTCCTGGTATGGCACTGTTGGATAGCACTGGACTGCTAACCACAAAGTTGGCGGTTCAAACTCACCAGCTGCTCCTTGGAAACGCTAAACAAAATCACTATGAGTCATAAACAACTCAATAGCACTTAATAACAACAACAGTATAGTTACTGGTGTCCTGGTGAGGTGCTATAGGATAAGCACTGGAGTGCTAACCACAAGGTTGTGGTGTTGGTGGTGGTGCAAACTCACCAGCTGCTCCTTGGAGTCAGAATCAACTCAATAGCACTTAGCAAAGACAATATAGTTAATAGGAGCACTGGTGGTTCTTCAGATAAGCATTGGACTGCTAACCACAGGTCAGAAGTTCAAACCCACCAGCTACTCCGCAAGACAAAGGTGAGGCTGGCTTTCTACTCCAGTAATGATTTACAATCTCAGAAACCCTAGACAGAGTGGCTATATGAGTCAGAGCCTACTTGATAGCACATAACATCAGCAACAACAACATAATTATTGAATTTTGTTTGTTCTCTTAAGTTTTAAAAAAATAATTTTACAAAAGTTTGGAGTAATTTCAGATTTGTAAAAAAGTTACAGAGATAGTCTAGAGCATTCCCATATAACCTTCATCCAGTCTCCCCTATTGTTAACATCTTATGTAACCCTGGTACATTGTCAAAGCTAATAAATTAACATCCATCTGTGCCGCTGTAGGATAAGCACTGGACTGCTAACTCTAAGGTCGACTTCCAGCCGCTCCTTGGAAGCCCTATACAGGGTCATTATGAGTCAGAACTGACTCAATAGCACTTACCAGCAACAACAAACCTTAGATTGTACCCTAGAATAGTTACAAAAAGGACAGTGGGAAAGTTGATAAAATCCATATAAAGTCTGGAACTTGGTTAATAGTAATTGTTGTTGTTAAGTGCTGTTGAGTCAGTTCTGACTCATACCAGCTCTGTCTAGGGTTTCCAAGGAGCGGCTGGTGGATTTGAACCATCAAACTTGTGGCTAGCAGTCCAGTGTTGATCCTATAGTGCCCAGAATACCACATTGTATTTGTGTATTTGGCTTTTAAACAGGCACAAGCACACATGCAAACACACATTCCTGTTCATCCCACAAATACCTAAACTTTTCCAAATGAATTAAATATTTCTCTCTGAAAACAAAATTTAAAACAATGTCTTTAGAACTAGGGAAGGAAAGATGTCCTTATGTGACAGCTATTAAGGAAAATACTTACATATTTTTGAACATAAAAACTTAAAATTGTCTTTGTGAAGAAACACAAAATAGTTTAAATACAAGAGAGAGTTTGAGGGGGAAAAACACATTTAAAATAGTGACCTCAGGCAGTGAATTAATTTTCAAAATATATAATTTATCTTTACAAATCAATCAGAAAAAGACATATAAATTAGGGGCAGCGAGAGCTATGAATAGTAGTAATGATTCAGAGTAAAAGAAAATCATGTTGCCAAAATGTGAAAATATTCGCCTAATCATTTGTTTATTGTAGCACATGAAAACAAGGATGGGATACAGTTTTTTAGCTGCTAGATTGGTAGGGATCAGAAAGCAAAGGGATTGTTTGAAACTCTGTCCTTTTTCTGTGATGGGAACAAACTGTCAGAAAAGATGCTGGATGCCAGGCTCACTGTGGTCTGGATGAGGTAATTTTGGTGGCAGCACAACCCTGGGAGCATAGTGGGTTACAAGTTGGGCTGCTAACCACAATATCATCTACAAGCTGCTCCACAGGAGAAAAATGAAGCTTTCTGCTGTCCATGAAGATTTACAACTTGGAAGCCCTATACAGGGTCGTTTTGATTTGGAACCTACATGATGGCAACCAAGCACCACCAACCACAGCCACCAGAGAAGGTCAACGTTGTGAGATCTGAGATGGACCATAGAGTCTTGTTTGCTTTCCGCATCAGACCCATTGTCCTCTTCCCACCATAGTGCTCCTTGCCCTTGGAACCCAGGAGCCCCAGACTGTAGAATACTGGTTTAAATCACCCTCATCTTGCTTGGACCCCATTAAGCTTTGATTTGACTTCTCTCCAAGCTTTGATTTCAGAGCCATACTTCCATAGACTTCCTAGGGTGGTAACTTTGAGTTCCTGAATCGAAGCGTTGACTCACCTGAAACAATTACTAACCAGCTATTGTTGAGTCTGCTATGACTCGTAGTGACCCCATGTGTGTCACAGTAAAACTATGTTCCATAGAGTTTTTAAATGAGTGATCTTTCAGAATGTATGTAGATTGCCAAGCCTTTCTTTCGAGGGACCTCTGAACCACCAACCTTTTGTTTGTCAGTCAAGTGCAATAACTGGTTGTACCACCCCAAGGACTCCTGAAACCATGACTAAGTACCCAGAAACCCCCAAACCTGTTTCTCTGTCTCCCTCACTCTCTATTCTCTTACTCTCAGTCTCTTTATTGTTCCCTGTTCATTTCTTTTACTCTGATTCTTTTTCCTTTTCCCTCAGTATAGATGTGACCTAGATTGACACTTTTTCTGCTGAACTCTTTGCTTCTAGCTCTGAATAACTGTTCAACACTGTTTACTTACTGATTGTTTGTATTTTCCTTTTCTTCAACATCCTGCCTCTTTCAATTTACCTTTGTTTTTCTTTGTTTTGCCTGGAGTAGAAAAGAAACCTGA